TATTTCTGTTTTTATACCTTGATTGATGTTGATGATCTGTAATGTTGTGTTGGAACATGTGCTCTTAACTTAAGTAAGGGCACATAGGTCTTTTCAGTCATGTTTTAATAATAATATAAATACTTACTGGCCGACTGGGAGAAGTCAAGTTGACTCTATCAGTTCGAACCAGAATTCTCTCTTCTCTCTTTCTCTCTCTCTCTCTCTTTCTTTATCACCTTTTCTTCTTCCTACATAACTGAACTCAGTCAGGCCGAACTCTAAGGCAGACCTGAATTATAACACATATGATGTAGGAGGGCTCAGTTGTTGCACAAGGGCCACCCTTGGTTTCCTTTCTGATAACCAAGGGGCTTATATTGATCACCAATTTACTTCTACACTGATACAGACTTATTCTCTTCTTATCAACCAAAAAGATATTTTATTCAACGCTTATTTGTTTCTTGGATGGAAAGCAAAGAGATTGGTGGCCAATAGGTCAGCATGCCAAAGCCCAGATTCAATCACAGGTCTAGGGTTCCGAGTTGGAACCCCCTAACACACACATTACCAACTAAGACAATAAGCACATTTGGCATATTTCTTTATGGTAAAGCTTGCAATAGAACATTATTTTGAGAGAATTTGAAACTCTTCACCAGACTTGGCCTTAATCCATAATTGGGAAGACAATATGTATAATGCTACTACACAAGATTGCACCCAAGGTTCAAAATATCGATACACCTCTATGTATTGGCAGAGGCGTATCGGTACTTAGATATATATGGATTTATATTTTTTATTTTTTTCAAAATTTGGTTTTTGGGAGGTATTTAAGGGTATTTTTTATTAAAAAAGAGTGGGGTCCCGAGACACTTGTAAACAGGTGTATTGGGACCCAAAAGATATAATACGATATGCCCAATATGGGGCGTATCATATCGAAATTTTGAACCTTGGTTGCACCCTACCATTATTGGAAGCCTTTTCTATTTTATTAATAATAAACAATGCAAATTGTATTAAGTCGTTGTATAAAACATATGCCAAAATAAATGCCTGYTTCATAATACTAAAGTCCTTTTAACTTGAAATATTTTAGAAAACTTTAATTCAAGGAACCAAGTTTAGTGATATTGAATTAGGAGAGTCAAAATATCATATAAGCATGTTCCAATGAAAGCAACACAGGTATTTTCATTATTTAAGAAATAAATTCTTGGAGGTCCCAAATTTTTAGTCTTTCTTGAATACTCATCTTTAGTAGTTGACATATTCTTATCCTTCATAGTTGCACTGTGAAATTTTTATCATATGAAGATACTAAGTCATCTTTGTAGCATTTCCATGACCACATAGTATTACTAGACATTTCAAAGTGTAATTTTTTAAATATTTTTTGAAGGATAAAAGTAAATTTCATTCAACTGAAAAAAGCAGTACATCTCGAAGTGCTAGTTGTCTAGTTGACAAACCAACTTCAAAACAGAAATTACAAGAAATAATTTTTAAATATAACAGCATCAGATGAGTAATAACGCATAACACCATAATAAGAGAAAAGAAAAAGAAAAGGAAACCATTGAACACTTTCAAGTAATAGGTCAAACCACTGTATTATACTCCTCTTACTATCATCAAGTTCCTGTTAATCCACCGTGGACACAAAATCAAACAAACAAAATTCTATTCCCTGTGGATGCTTTATTTGAATGGAAAATCCAAAACGAACCAAATCCTTGGTCATTTATACAGATAAAATAATGGATTTTAGCAGTACAGTCCAAGATCAAATTAAGTTTTTCTATGTCTCTATCATCTTCTTCTTCCCCCAAAATGTATTTACTCAAAACACCCTGCGATTTCTACCTTAGCAAGACAATACCAAAGATGAAATTCCATCCCCCCTCCACCCCCAAAATAAATGGACAAATAGGGAAAATGGGACAATTAAAGACCCAAACTTTTCTGCAGAAAGAAGCCTTAGTTGTCTCCCCAAGAAGAAAAAACAAGAACATAAGAGTGAAGAGGGGGGGCAAGAAATAGCAAGAATCTAGCAAGAATCCATTCGAAGACAATGAGGCAGGCAGAAGTACCCCTTGAAGTTCAGTGAGAACAGACGCATCAATACCCTCGTTGACGAATTCTTCCCGCAGTTTACTGACGACGACATCGACGACGTGAAGATACACAGCGGAGACAATTGTAGACATTTTTCATGAAACCAGAATCTTTTTCTTCAATCCAGCTCTTACAATCTCATGGATTGACCTAAAGAGATCGTTGGTAGTTAAATTGGCTTTTCGCAAAAAAATATAACCAATTAGGGAACCTTTAGCTTCAAATTAGGTTTCACACTTCGCACAGAGGGAGAGAAGAGCTGGAAGAAGAAGATTTTTGAGTGTGGGAAATATAAATAAGTTTGCATCAGCTGAGCGGTCTGGATGTCGAAATTCGAATCTGCGCTCCTCTCTCACTGTCTCTCTGAATACAAGGATGTGGCGACTGGCGAGTGCCTTTTCACATCTGGCGTGAATGCCACGTATTCATCTAGGTTTAAATTGACAGACCGGATCTGTTCCTCACACCTGGCTCCTCACGCGCACATCGTATAACTTATTATTCACAGAAGATGTTTCCATTTGTGAGGCGCCCATTTGTAAGTAGCAGATCCTAGGTTTCTGATAATCATAAATTCATAATAACCACCCGAGGTTTCACTTTATCAAAAACCTCGCCTGTAGTTTCAAATTGCCCTTACTAAACTTTACTATATACCTAACGTTAACGTTTTGTAGAGTAAAATTACTCTACTATTCTTTAACCTAACTAGTGGAAATTTTTAATTAAAATTTAAAAATTTTTCTTTTGGGGTATTTTAGTAAATGTCGATCTAAATTGATAGATATCAAGGTAAAATGGGTATTTTTAAAAAACGAATGTATTAGGCAAAATGGTACTTTTGGTAATAGTATTGTAACATTGTAATAACATCTATGCTGTATTATATATCGATATGGTCCATGTGAGCAGCCTTCTCCTTCTATATACTAATGTTACAATATTATTAATATATATGTTTTCACCGTTACATGGCCTTCTCATTTTTTTGGAAAGTTACACATATGGCATTTCTTAAGAAGTTGTTGCTAAAGTCCATAATCCATTATCACCATTTTCAATCTATTCCTAAGTGGTTATTCACAAYCACTTCTGTCTATATTCTATCAATTTCATTTAATCATTAACCTTTTATATATCATAACAAAAGAAAACTATTCATATTCTAATAATTATTGAAAAGTTATTTTTTGAAATAAATATTTTTTAAAATTAATACTTATTTAAAATATTAATACATATAAATTTAACATTATTGATTCCATAATGTAAATTTAACATTACTGATTCCCCGTACTTAGTACAGGGTCATTCACTAGTTTCTCTTTAATTCTATCATTTCTCCCTTACCCCTTCCATGTAGCCACTTGGCAGCCCTCTTCTATTTATTAGAGTTCCACTCTAACTCCCTCTCTTTCATGTTCCCAATAAACCATCTAAAAACACAAAAGTGGTTAAATTAATTTATGAAATATTTTTGATATGTTCAACAATTACTAATATCATTGAATATTAGTCAATAAATATCAACACCTAAAATATAATTTTGGTAAATTGGAAATTTTAATTACTAAAAATTACTGATTTTGGTAATTTAATTTWAAAAAAATTATAAATTAATTATTGAAAAATGAATAATTAATTAAACCATTAATAAATACAAATGTAATAATTACAAATTATCATAAATTTTTAGCAATAATTAGTTATCGATAGTTTTAGCAAGTTTGGTTGATTTATTAATATTTAAAGATATTATCATATAATAACTAAAAATCTTTAGTAATTTTTCCATGGAAATTTATTTTTAGCAATTTTGTTACTTACTATAATTTTTTAGCAAATTGGTGATTTTGGAAATTTAATTACTAAAAATTACTCATTTTGTTAATTTTATTTAGTGAAAGTTGAATTATAAAACTTCTAATTATTCAAATAAATACTTGAATTTTTTAATAATTTTCATAATTATTATTGATAATTATTGGAACTATATTTATGGGTTTGGGGGATGAACCCTGGGGAGGAATGGAAATGGGTGGGTTCGGGGCGAAGATCATACTCCATGTCCCCAACCTTGAGTTTTAAGTTAATCCCCGTTGAGAAAAAATTTAGCCTACATCCCTAGTCCCCGATGGAGACGAGTTCCCCATTGGGGACCTAAATGCCCAAATCTCTCTCTCTCTCTCTCTCTCTCTCTCTATCTATCTATCTATCTATCTATCTATCTATCTATATATATATATATATATATGAAATGAAGGCTTTTAGGCTATAGTCCCCACCATTCAAAACGTGGTTTTTTCAAATTTAGACACATGGCATTTTCTGAGAAGTTGGTGTTAAAGTCCACAACCCATTACCACCATTCAGACAAGTGGCATTCTCATTTTCTAGAAAGCTAGACACGTAGAAATTTATGAGAAATTCTTGTTAAATCCCACAACTCGCTACCATGCTACAACCCCCCACCATTCAAACACAAGGCCTTCTCATTTTTTCTGGATCGCTAGACACGTGTCATTTTCTAATAAGTTGTTGCTAAAGCCCACAACCCATTACCATTATTTTCAATCCATTCCTAAAAAATGCAAAAAATGAAAAAGTGGTTATCCACAACCACTTCTGCYTACATTCTATCAATCCCAGTTAATCATTGACCCTCTACATATCATAACAAAAGAAAACTATCCATATTCTAATAATTAGTGAAAAGCTATTTTTTAAAATAAATATTTCTTGAAATTTTAATAATTATTTAAAATATTAATAAATATAAATTTAACATTATTGATTCCATAATGTAAATTTAACATTATTGATTCCCCGTACTTAATATGGGGTCATTCACTAGTTTTTTAATTAAAAGTTTGTTTTTATAAGGGAGGCCAGGTACTTGGTGGGGATGGGGAAAATTGCACTTGCATCCGTACCCCGGGCTATGTTGCCTCAAAGAGCAATAAATCTTAACCTATAAGCCCTAACTTTCCTGTGCATCACATAGGGGCTCACTACTTGAAAGATATCTATCTATATTATTTTAAAATGCACAAATAGCCTCAATAATGTTTCTGGAATTTTCTGAGGATAAAATTTACCCCTCTATATTTAAATTTATTGATAAAAGTGAGGGCAAATAGGTTAATTGGTAATTGGTATTAAATGAGTTGAAAAGATGAAATTTTAAGATATTCAATGCATTCAATTCACTCTCATTAAATCCAACAGGTATTAACTTGCATTCACCACCTTCATTGAATCATATATTTAAGGCATTTTTGTTTCTTCTCATCATTAAATTTTATTAATTAAATCCTTACATAATAAATAAGTGTTTTTATTTAAATGGTGGCAAGAAATTAAACCATTTTGGGTCAAATGGGTCAATCCATGTTGCCACAATTAAATAATAAAATAAAAAAATAGATAAAATGCAAAAAATATAGAAATTATAAAAAATTGGGAACATTTTTAGCATCATATATTCAACATATTAAACAATAATAAGTACGATAAACAAGAAATGTTTTATTAATGATGGAAATGGAATGTAAAATATAAAACCAATTGGAAATAAAACTATTTTCATATTCTCTCTCATTAAATCTCACATCTAATGTATATTCTCTCATTAGATCCTATATTTAAGACATATTTTTCAAATTACTAAATTCTACAATTTAAATCCATAATATTAATTTTAATAGTATAAAAATAAAATTTTGAAAAGTAATTTGAAAACAAAACATTTCCTTCCCTCCAAATGGTGGGTAAGCAATTCAACCATTTAGAGTCAAATGGGTTAATAAACAATGTCATAATTAAATAACAATAAATTAAAATAAATAAAATATATAATAAAAAAAGAATTGGACATATCTATAATATTGTATATGCATTTTACTAAACAAAAATAAGTAGGAAATGTAAGAAATATTTTTTTAATGATGAAAATGGAATGCCAAATTTAAAATCAACCTAGAAATGAAATGACATCATAATCAAATAATAAATTTTTGAAAATAGAAAATACAAAGAATCACAAAAATAAAAAAAAAATAGAGCAAATTTTGAGCACATATCTAATGTTATATATTAATAAAAATAAAATATTGGGTACATTTCTAATATTATACATTCATTATATTGAACAAAAATAAGTATTGTACATAAGAAATAACTTGACCTGTGATGGACATTTAATACAAAATTTAATGTCAACCTAGAAATCAAACTATTTTCCTTTTTGGGTGGTAGGTTAGTGGTTTAGGTCAATTGGATTAATCGATTATATCATAATTAAATAATAAATCTTTAAAAAATAAAAAGTATACATAATAAAAAGAATACATAAAATTATATATTAATTATGTCAAAAAAAATTGTGTGATATGTATAAACTATTTATATAACATAGAGGAAATATATAGTTTGAAACTAGTCTGGAAGCAAAAATATTTTCTTATCTACATGGTGAGTCAATAATCCAACTTTTCAAAGAAACTTATGATAATTGTTAAAATAAAAATTATTTTTATTTATGATAGAAATGGAATACAAAATTTAATAATAATAATAATAATAATAATTGTAATTTAAAATTTTTATGTGCAATGCATATGCAAATTTATTACAAACATTTAAGTTTATTTTAATCATATTATTACTTTTGTTCATTTTGAATTTCTATCTTAACAATGATATATCTAAAATTCAAGTAATTAAAATCAAGAAAAATTTCTCACATGCAACGCATGTGCTTAATTACTAGTAAGGGTAAATGGGTGATAGTAGCATTGTAGGCTTATGTGTATCAAGTGGAGCTAGAGAATGACCACCATGTTGTTCTCTGTGTACAAATCTAGTGTTTCACCAAATTTGTTTTCTTTTTTCACATTCAAATCAATTTTGTTGGGCACCCTTTATTTATATTATAAATTTAGGTTGTTTTTTAATTTGATAGTTTTTTTATATATAAATTTGTTATTCAATTTAAGAGATTAAATTAAATTTTATTTGTAAACAATAAACCCATTTTATGGATCCTACATCATTTGAAATGAGTTTTTTTAGTGGATGTAATTACCACTAAATCCTTGCTAGTTGGTAAGATTTTCTATTGGTTCTACATTTTTGTAATTCTCTATATTTATTTCTATTTTAAAAATTTTATTACCAACTACGATTTCATAGGTTGATCAATTCTGATGGTTGAATTGCTAAGTCACCACTTGGATAAAGAATGGTTTTGTCTTTGAGTTAGTTTTAAAATATATGTGTTTATATTGCTAAAAATATTGACGTAGATCTAACTAGTAACATTTATTAGTGAAAAATATGAGCACTTTAGTAGCCATTAAAGTTGGCATTAAAGCTATAATAAAATGACTTTTATACTCTTCATCAAACAAAGAAACAGAAAGTAATTTTAGTCCAAAAAACTTTCACTTTACATCCACACTTTTATATATAGTATGGTT